AAAATGTCACTGCCCACCGAGGGGATTAGTGGTTTGGGGTTGGGGATGCTCAGCCTTGTGCTGTGGTTGCGCCTTCTGCTGTCTGCAGGTTCAGGCTCCCGCCCCCTCATAGCCCGTGAATGCACAGATGCTAGGGCCTGGGGATCTGTCTGTGCCTCCGGGACAGATGTGGCTCTCACACTGGCTTACTCCTGTTTTCTGCTAGGGATATCCTATATGCCAGCCAAGGTGTTGTTCATTGAAAAAGATTTTCTTTATATTTTATCTAGTTTTTTTAGTTCGGCTTTACCGAGTTTTCTGTGAATGGTTAGTGTGTCTTTTTTCATAAACACAATAGCTTTTTAAATACTCATGTTTTTCAAATACCAAATGATTTCCCTCATTTGTGGAGCATAACAACGAAGCAAAACTGAAGGAACAAAATAGCAGCAGACTCACAGACTCCAAGGGGGGACTAGCGGTTATCAAAGGGGAGGGGTTGGGGAGGACGGGTGGGGAGGGAGGGGGAATGGGATTGTGGGGTATCATGATTGGTGCACATGGTATATATGGGGTCGCAGGGAGGGCAGAGTAGCTGGGGGAATCAGGTGGAGACTCTGTGGCATCTTGCGCTGATGGACGGTGACTGTGGTGGGTTGTTGGGGGGCTCTATAGTGGGGATGAATGTAATAAACACATTGTTTTTCTTGTGGAGCCTTCATGGGAGTGTATATCAATGATACCTTAATAAAAAAACAACTCATATGTCTCTTAGATATATAATGTTAAAACTTAGGAGGAAAACTAACTTATTGGGGTACTTATATTTGCAGTTCATTTAGCACATTTAGGAGAGAATTCAGCATGTGTGAAATGTGCTCTAGAGAATCTGGAAGAATACAATGAATAACTGAATGCAGCCTATATTGCTTCCTTCTGAGTGACACCCTGGGACCTTGGAGCTGTTTGCATGGTCCGTCTGCACACTTCCAACGACTCACCTGCAGTTTCGGATCTGGATTCAGATGAGAAGCTTGGTGGCTGGAAGCCACAGAGACATGTCCTGACACCTGCTGGTGGCTAAGGTAGCCTTCATTTACTAGAGGTGGGAGCCTTGTTTATGCTTCCCAGTTCAAAAATTCAAGAAATATTTATTGCTTCATATTTTGTGTCAGAGTTTGGGCATAATTTCATGGATACAAAGATGAAACAGAAAAGGTTAGTGCTCTTGAAGAATTTGTAATTCCAGGGCATGTCCTTTAGCAGGAAAAGTGAAAGACACGCAGATAATTTAAATACATTGTGGGAAGTGTTATGATGTGTGTGAGATAATAGAAAATATATATTGGTCTCTGCCTCCAGATCCAGGCATAGAGCTTTTAAAACCCTTGCGAAGTCTTAAGTGTGAGAGCGGTAGGAGCATGACTCTGCTCCCACTGTTGGCCACCAGAAAGACCAAGCCATGATTAGAAGCTTGGAACTTTCAGCCCTGCCACTCCGTTTCTCTGGAGAGCAGAGGGGTGCTGGGAATGGGCTTAACAATTGATTGTGCCTACATGCGGAAGCCTCCATAAAATCCCAACAGTAGTATGTGGTTCAGAGAGCTTCCAGGTTGAGAACAAATCTACATGTCAGGAGGATGACTCACCCCAACTCTGTGGGCACAGAAACTGCCATGACCTCATACCATGTGGCTCTTCACTTGGTTGTTCATCTGTATCCTTACCAAACTGGTAAATGTAAGTGTTTCCTTGAGTTCTGCAAGCCACTCTTGCAAATTAACCAATTCAAGGAAAGAGGCATGAGAACTTCCAATTTGTAGCCATTCAGGCTGAAGTTGTGGGTAACCTGGGGATGTACTACTTCTGATTGGCATCTGAAGTGGGGTGAAGTCTTGTGGAACTGCACTCGATGGCATCTGATACTATCTCCTGGTAGATAGTTTCAGAATTGACTTAAACTGTAGGATTACCAGCTGGTGTCACAGAGAATTGCTTAGTGGCAGAAAACCTCCACAAGTTTGGGTGAAGTGTCAGGCGTGAAGCATTCTGTGTGAGTAGTAAAGGACACACATAAGGGAAAGACTTGGCTCTTTCCCCTATACAATGGGCTAAGCTCAGAGCGCCACTGAGAAGATTAATTTACTCTGCATCTCTGCACACAGCACTCTCTGTAGGTCCCAGATTTACTTCTTTTTGTTTCAGCTGTAAGCAGAGACGGAGTGGAGTCTTCCTGCCCCCTTTTAGGAAAGGGGAATGAACTGACCTTACTTGAGTCAAATGTCTTCCTTCACTGGCCCAATCACTGAGACCAAGGGTGGTCACAGAGTACATATATGGCAGCCGAAGTACTAAGGGATAGTTTGGGTAGGAGGGTTCTCAGAGAAATGGGGTTGCATTGAGCTGGAAGGGTATCTGACACTGTTTTCCTATAGCACCCAAACCTAAATCCATCCTCCTACTCCCCTGTGTTTTCAGTCTAAGCAGGTAAGAACTGATAGTTGGGTGGGAAGGGCTGACGGGAGGTGGGGTAGTAATACAAAGACAGCTGATTCACTGGCCCCACCGGGGTATGATCTTGGCGAATTCATCACAATCCAGGGTCAAGCTCTGAATTTTGCAGGCTTAGAAACATGAACCTGTCAATATCTCAGAACTGACGTGATTTGTAGGTACTGAGTCACAGTGAGGTTCACAAGCAACTGATGTACAAATTCTAACTTACTAATTGACAAAAATTTTAATTTATTAATTTATGAAAAATGTAAAATACTCTATCAATTTTTTATTATAATTAACTAATTACAATAAGATAATTTATGATTTACAAAAAATATTTAAGGGCATATCAGCTCTCCTTGGATCTATTGTGTGAATACCTTTTTGAACCCTGACTCAATGTCATGCTCTGTGCTGGGCGCTCTGGATGCAGATGTAAGTAAGACCCAGGCTCACCCCCCTCGGAGCCCCCTGACTTACATGTGTGCTGGGTGTGGGTGGACACTCTCACCCTCTGCAATCACACAGTTTAGGAAGCCAAATCATATTTAGAAAGCTGCTTGACAAGGATGAAATAAGAACAAGGGAGGTTGGTGGGAGGGTTGGATGGCCAGTGGTGTCTCTGACAGCCTGGGTCCAGCATAATTTGGTGGGAGAACTGGATACCAGAATTTGACCGGGCACAGGCCCCCTCCTCTGTGCCGTTCTACAGCCAAGTACTGCCAATGTCTGCCTGATAGGCCCTTTGCATTTCCTTGGCTGCCTGTAGTCCTCTGAGCAGTACCTTCTTTCTGTGGACATTTTCTCTCATATGAGAGCTCAGGCTCCGGTCCCAGGAGAGGAACGGAGTTGGTGGCTTGGGTATCAACGATTTCGCATTGCCCAGACTGACACGTTGCTCAGGACAGGATTGCTTTCCTTGGGTTCTTTCTTCCTGAGGGCCCCTCACTTTGGCCTCCTTCTTCTTGGGCTCTTGACACCCCTCTGTGAGCTTCTGCATGCATTTGGTCATTTTTCTCTCCTCCCAGCTGTCTTTTCAAACATTTGACAATTTTGTTCAATCTTCCACCCAACCTCTAATGCCTATAGGTGACCTTGCCACCTGCTTTAGATAGAAAATTGGGATGGGGTACAACTCCCTTGTATGTGGGTATGAGCTCCTGGCAAGACTCTTTAGTTGCCCATCGCTAATGCTTTGGGGCACCCCCCAAGCCTCCATTCAGCCTACTTGCTCTGTCCCCTGCAGTTCTCATTTACTTTTATGGCATCTGAGTCTTTTCTTCCTCAGTCCCTATGGACAGTATGCCTGGTACTATGGACTGTACTGTGTCCCCCTTAATTCATACATCGAAGGCCTAATTCCCAGTGTGATGGTATTTGGAGATGGGGCCTTTGGAAGGTAATTAGTCCATGAAGTGGAGCCTCTCCTTACTCACTAAGTCCTATCAGTGCTGCCCTCTTAACATATCTTGAATCTGTCCCTTCCTCTCTGCTCTCCCACTGGGCCCCAGTTTAGGCCGCATTATCCATGCTTTGACTCTTACTGCAGCTTGACTGGTCTTCTTGTTTCCAATCTTGTCCCCTGAAACCATTCTTTACATTGCAGGCCCCAGTAATCTATTTAAAAGACAACCTGAAATTTCTGTTTCCCTTGTTAAAAACCTTTCTGTGACTCCCCAGTACCTATAGGATAAAGTCTAAGTCCTTTAGCAAGGCATGCAAAACTCTTGTTGATCTGACACTCCTTGCTCAAAATTCTGAAATCCCCCCAGTCTGTCCCTTTGTCTGGCCTTGTCCGGTGGCTGTGCTGCTCCTCCTCTCAAAACCCACCTTGTAAGTCGTCCCCTCCAGGAGCTTTTCCAGAACTCTCCCATACAGGGTGAGTCCCCCTGGGTCCCTGCTGCCTGAATCTTGGGCCAGCATCTACTGTGGTACCTTCTGTCTTCCTTGTAGAGCATGAGGACAGGGGCCACATTAATCTACTCTTCATCCTCAGGGTCTGGCCCGAGGTGAGTCATTCTCCATGTGCACTGAATGAATAATCAGAAACTGGTAGACCTATTTCACCAGGGGCCAAGGTGGAGCCAATGGACAGAGCCCAGGGGGCTTGTGACTAAACCCTTGCTGAAGGACATCAAATCACTCCACCTTAGTGCCCAGGACCAGGCTTGACTTCCCACCACAGCACAGCCAAACACAGAGTGACAGAGACTGTCCTGCTGGGGTCTTTTCCCAGAGAGCTGAGAAGGAAGGCAGAAGACCCAAATGCAGAGCCAGGGTAGGACCTGGAGGAGGAATGGCAATCAGTGCCCGGGCCAAGGAGGAAGAGCAGATAGGCTGTCACAGGCTCCCTGGCTCAGACCCAGGCAGGGGAGGGCAGGACCCATTCATCCAGCGCCAACCCAGGAACCAGACAGCAAGCTGGCTGGCCAGGCTTGGGCCAGTCTAAGGCTAGGAGGGGATTTCCTCAGGCTCCCTCCCCTGGGCTGGGCAGCTGGGAACCTGTCCGGACAATTTTAGTTTGGGGGAGGGACCAAGGAGGCCTGGCAGGGCGGGAACTTGAGGGCAGCAGAGGCGGCCCCTTGGCCCAGGACGCCTGGAACCCGGGAGGCACGCTGCCCTGCCTTGGCCTCCCGAGGTAAGCCGTGGGATACGGGCGCGGGTGGAGGGAGTTCCACCGTGGGGAGAAGGGGTGGTGGCAGGAAGCGCTGGGGGAGGCGGAGTGTAAAAAAAGCCCAAGGCCCAGGGCTGGTGTGGGAAGGAGGCAGACTGTCTGTGGGTGCTTCCTTGCAGTCTCCCTTCCGGAGTCGCCGCTTGGGATCCTGCAACTTTGTTTTGAAAGTAGGCAGCATGTTGGGCCAGGAGTCACGGCTGTGTCAGGCTTCTCCCCCAGGGACATGATTTGGAGGCCAGGTAGTGCCTTCTTCCTTGCCCTGGCCAGCCACTGGTCCTCTCTCCCTCCATCACATTCTCCCTAGAAACCTGTCCCCATTACTGCCCCCCCCCCGTTTTTTCCTCCCTCCACTAAACCAGTTCAAGCCCTCCTGTGTGCCTGACCTCTGCCCCTGCCCTGGGCACTGAAGACCATAGTCAGGGGAGACAGTTACTCTTCTCTTCTACCCAACACCCCCCAGGGTTATTAGTTTCCTCCTTCCTGCTTTGGGCTGAGGGATCTCCTGCATTCATTCATTCATCATTATTCATTTATTTATTCATCATTGTTACCTGTATTGGGGGTGAGGGCATGCAATTTCTGCTCCTCTTGGGGATGAGAAAACTGAAACGTATTTCACAAACATTTAAAGATCATCTATAAGCTGGTGGGCAGTGTGGCATAGTGGGAAATTATTTTGGAGTCATAGAGACACTTGTATTTGTATCCCACCACTCCTGTTCATGTCCTGAGCCTCAGTTTCCCCATCTGTAAAATGGTATTGTTTATTACCATGAGACATTTCATGTCAAGCACCAGGCTGCTGCCAGGCACACAGTGGGGCCTCAATAAGTATCTGTGCTCTTCCCTTCTTTTTTGGCCCCCTTCTTGCCACACCCTTCCCTAGCTGCTCTCTCACTGTTCTATAGGCTTGTAAGATACTAAGACAGACCCTGGCCTTGAAGGCACTTACCACTTGTAAACCCAGAACTGAGCAATGAAGGGGGAGGTGGTGAAGGGAGAGGGAGGCAAAGAAGGGGTGGGGGCGGGGCTGAATAGGGAGGGCGCTTCCTCAGCTTCCAGATAAGAACACTGGGCCATGGCTGGGACCTTGAACTGGAGAGTTGATGTCTCCAGCAGGCTGTTCTGCTATTTCTGAATTTGTACACTCAACTCAGGCTGAGGGCTTTTAAATGCATTATCTCATGTAAGCACAACCCTGTTATGGTTTTATTATTATCCTCATTTTACAGATGAGGAAATGAAGGTACAGACTAAGGGATTTACCAAAGGTTACATGGCTAATAAGTAAAGGAACCAAAATTCAAACCTAGGTCAGACTCCCAAACTTCAATCCCTTTGTTCGACTCCTTGCCATCTTTCAAGTTTCTCTGAATCAGAAAGATTAAAAAGGGCATCATCATTTCCCCAACTTCCTAGACACTAGCTTTTCACTTTGTGTCCTGCTCTGGGCTGCTTCACCCAAGTGGGGAGGAGCACATTCCTTTCCTGATTCATTAATTCATTCACTTATTCAAACATAATTCATTCAGGCAAGTGTTCTGTTGGTCCCAAGAGGGCAGGGACCATGCCTGTTTATAGGTGTATAGCTAGCACCTTGTGAACCCCTGATACAGAAATGTTTGATGAGTTCTTTGTGAGCACATGAATCCAACAAACATTTCTTGGTCCACTCCTTAGACTCCGTAATAGGGATTCAAAGATGAATAAAACAAGTCCTATCCCCAGGGTACTTACAGCCTTGTGGAGGTGCTGGTAATAGCACAAAGAAGACAATGGTGTGCTGGACAGGAGTAAACGTTGCTAAGGGACTAGGGGGGGTACTTCATTCTAGCATGTCTCCAATGTCCAATGCTTGCTTGGCACATCAGCAGGCATGTGGTAGATGCTCAGTAAAGCTTTCCAGAGGAGGTGTTCAGGAGAGTCTTGAGGGGGTGTTAGGACTGCACCAGGAGAACAAATTAGGGAGGGAAGATAATCTAGCAGAGGCAGATGCTCAGGAAAAGGGGTAGTGGAGGGTGGGAGCTAGAATTGCTACGGGCTCAGTATGACTAAAGTCCACAGTGTATATGGAGGAATGGCAAGAAATGAGGGTGGATAGATAGTCAGAGCTCAGGGAGAGTTCCTTGTATGCCTTGTTAAGGAACCTTGATTTTATACGGTTAAGTCCTGAAGGAATTTAGCGAAGGGCAGACACCATCTGATTTGTATTTCAGAAGTGTGGCTGACACGTGAGGTCAAGATGACACCAAGGTCTCCAGGCCTGATGCGGTCCCTACCTGTCTGAGGAGATGAGCCTCCTCCTTAGGAGTTAGATAAGGACTTCCTTTCAGGACGTCAGCATGGCTCTTGAAGCCTCCTGACTTGTCCCATGTCCTGATCTACTCATGCTTTGCCTTCAGCTGTCCACTGGGTTAGAGCTAATCATACTTAATCTACTTCTTAATAAACGTACTGAAATCTATGAGTGATTTACATTTCTATCATCTGCAGCAAATTCCGGGATCTCCTGCCTGCTAACTTGCCATTCCTTGTGCCTCCTTGTGTCAGAGAGAAAAAGATGCAGTGGTAGATGGGGCACTGGGAATTATACTGAGCTCTGAATGTGCCCAGGGAGTTTGTGTCAAATATGCCAGTGGCCCTGGAACTAAGGGTACATGGACATGGATAACTTTAAGGGAATCAGTTTCTGCATCCTCAAATTCCATTAGGTACTCTCTCCTAAAAGCAATCTGCTTGTATGGATTCTTTAAAATTCTCCTTTTCAACTCTGTTTTCACTGTTTCCCTACTCTGGCTTTCTCAGATCCACCCGGAATCTTTCACATGGTGCATTGCTTGAGGATGTACAAGCCAAAAGGACAATTGGAGAATGCTTTGTTCCCGAGAGAGAGCAAGCAGAGAGATTAGGTAAAATAAACTGAAGGGGTGGTGCCTTCCTACAGACTCAGTATTTTTTTTAAGTACTTGATTAATGTTAATTATGTGCCAGACACTGTTCTAAGGGCTTTATAGATTAATAACTTATTTAATGCTCATATCAGGTCTATAAAGTAAACACTTATTATCCTCCTTTTACAGATGAAGTTCCAAAGGCACCCAGAGGTTTAATAAGTTGCCCAAGGTCACAGAGCTATTAATCCTGAAATCAGGATTTGTACTACAGCACCTTTCCTCTAGAATCTGTGCTCTTAATCATTACACTACTCTACTTTTAATTTAAGGGCCTTAGCTCTTGATCTATGTGCTATAAAATTAGAATTGGGACCTGAGCTGGTTGTCATGGGGATGCAAATGAACTCATTTATAGAAATTTTTAAAAATGAAGATGGATTTTCTTACAGACAGAAAATTATTCTGGTTTGGCTGATTGGTTTGACAGGGAGGACTGGCTCTGAGAACTGGATTATGTGATAGATACTTTCCACAAACTGAACAAGCTAAATCTGTAGCTCCAAGATCTATAAAAAAAATATATCTAAAGCATGTCTCTAATATAAAGACTGGGCCAGAAAATTCCAACTTGGAACCTATTTTAATTTGTGATAAATAATTTTAGTTATTAACTTAAAATGTGTGAGAGGGTCATAGCTTTTTCAAAGTTCTTATGGGGATTCATGAGCAAAAAAAATGTGAAGCCTTCTGATGTATGGCGCACATACGCATCACCAGCGACGTATACCATAGTGGGGACCAGAATTCTGAGCAGGTGAGGGGAAATGGCTTGTTTATAGGTGAGCAGCGGCCCAATTGGAACAAGAAATGGTTTCCTGGTTTCTGTAAGTTTAGTGCTCTTTTTATTGCTCCATGCTTCCCCCTCCTTTCCTTCTTTGTTGACTTGATGGTTTATTCAGCATGCACTCACTGAGCACATACAGGTGGGGTAAAAAAGAAACACTTCCTACTTTTTCTGAACTTATATTCTAGTAGAAAGAGACAGCAAATAAATGAACTTTTTATATAGTGGTCTGAGCTGGGAGCAAATGATCAGGGGAATGTGATAGAGTATATGAGGTGCTCGGAGGGGTGGCTGCCACTTCAGATAGGCCAGGGCAGATTTCCTAGGGAGGTATTCTTTGTTATGAAGGAGCTAGACTTGTATACATATGTTGGTTAGGTAAAGGGAATAGCAAGTACAAAGATCCTGAGGCAGGAGAGAGCTTGGTGTGTCCCTGGCTAGACAGAAGGCCTGTGGTTACAGGGCAGAGATTTTGTGAGGGTGGTATAATCCCACAAAGAAGGCAGGGGTTAGGCCATGCAGGACCTTGTCAGCCATGGTAAGGATCTTGTATTTATCTTGAAGACAATGGGAAACTGTTGAAGGGTTTTAACAGAGAGTTGATATACAGGAATACCTCCAAGATACTGTGGGTTTGGTTCCAGATCACTGCAGTAAAACAAATATTGCAATAAAGCAAGTTGAATGAATTTTTTGGTCGCCCAGTACATATACAAGTTATGTTTACCCTATACTGTAAGCTATTAAGTGTGTGACAGTATTATATCTAAAAACAGCAATATACATACCTTTAATTCAAAAATACTTTATTGCTAAAAACATATTATTCATCTTCTAAGCTTTCAGTGAGTTGTAATCACTGATCATGGATCACTGTAGCAAATATAATAACAATGAAAAAGTTTGATATATCTAGAAAATTATCAAAATGTGACATGGAGACATGAAGTGAATAAGTGCTGTTGGAAAAATGGTGTCAGTAGACTTGCTTGATGCAGGGTTTTAGCAAGCCTTCAATTTCTAATAAATGTAGTATCTGTAAAGTGCAAAAAAAAAGCAAAGGGCGATAAAATGAGGAATGCCTGTCCTCTGCTTTATGGTTGTGTTCTGTTTTGTTTTGGAGAGACAGGAGTGAAAACAGAGATGGAAGACTAACTCGGAGGCTGTTGCAGGTGGGACATCTGCAGTCTAGCTATGGGAGGATACCAGGATGAACAAGGTTAATGGGAAGGCAGAATGGATATGGGGTGTCATTCTGTCTTCGAGTTCTGAAGAGGTAACTCTTGCTATATAACAAACCACCCCAAAATGTAGTGACTTTAAACAATTATTTTACTTTGTCACAATTCTGTGAATCTAGAGTTTGGGCAGAGTTCAGCTGAGCAGTTCTTCTGCCCCATGTGGGGTCAACTGTGGTCATTCACTTGGCTGTGTTTGGTTGGTAGATGAGCTGGGCTGGAAGGTTCAAGAAGGCTCGCTCATGGGTCTGGTACCTTGGTGCTCTTCTGCGTGGCCTCTATCTCCATGTAGCTGGGCTTCCACATAGTAGGGTGGCCTTGGGGTGCTCAGCCTTCTGCTACATGATGTCAGGCATCAAAGACAGAGGCTGCCAAGAGGCACAAAAGTGGGGGCTGTGGATCTCTGAAGGCCTGGCCCTGGGAGGTGTCCCACACTCCTTCCACCATGTATTTTTGATCAAAGCCAGTCACAGTGCTCTCCAGATTAAAGGAGAAGAGAAACAAACCCCAACTCTTGGTGGGAGGAATGGCATATAATATGCTGTGTCTTTAATCTACCCCACTCAGCTTCTGGGAACTGAATAACCATACCCACCCTGTTGATGCTGACCCACTTTTAAATCTAAATCACAGTACACTGTGTTGGAATAATTTAGAGGTCTTTATTCTCCACTGGAAATTGAAGGCCTAGGGAACCTGAGGTGGTTGGTTTTTTGTTTTTTCCTTGTGTTTCTAGAGCCTAATATGTACAAGGTATTCTGGGAATTCTTATCTAATGAGCACACACATCATAGAAGAATTGATTGTTTATCAAACTGTGTGTACATCAGAGTCCCCTGAGGAGCTGCTTAGAAGACCCCAGGCCAGACCCTCTAAATCCAAATCTCTAGAGCAAGAGTTTTTAGTATTAGCTGCCCATTGAAAAACTCAGTATCCAGTGCCCAGCTCCAGACACTCTGATTCCACTGATCTGGGATGAGCTCAGACATCAGTGCTTTTTTGCAATCTTCTCAGACAATTCTGATGGGTTAATTCCACTGCACTAGGATTGGAACCAGCCGTGTTCTCCTGACTTCCCCAGGTGATTCTGAAGGAGGTGGTCTATGATAGGGTGACCAACTGTCCTTTGTGTGCCCAGGACTGTCCTAATTTTAGCACCCTAGGGCCCACATTCCAAGGAATCCCTAGTTCTGTGAAAACTGGCACAATCACTATCAATGGACCACTACTTGAGAAACATTGTAGATGAGGCAGTGATAGATAACCTTTTTGAAAAATCACCTGCAAATATTGAATGAAAGCACTGATTGAGCCTCCTTACTTAAGGGACTGATGTATCATAACGCTGTCTCACACAGAGTCAACTCTGAATTAAGGAGGAGGTGGCTCACAGTCAGGGTTTCCCATCAGTGCTCTGGTATGCCAGGTCTGCTAACCTAGTTTGTGTGCCTGTCTTTGGGAATTCTTCTGGACTGGATTCTTTGGTGTACATGAGGCCGCTTTGCAAGCCCAACCACAGTCAATAAGGATGATGTGTTGAGGACAGTATGAGATACAGGATGAAGTTATTATGAAGTTCTTGTGTGTATTATTAATAGTAATATGCCAGTATGTAGTATTATTACTGTTACTCATAAGAGGGTTCAAAAATATTTATAATATCTTAAATAATTCTGTTGGGAGGCAGTGTGGTATATAGTGGAGAACCCAGGATCTGGTCTCAGGAAAACGGTTTTTTGCCCCAGCTTTGCTGTGACTAAGTATATAATCACAGATGCTTGTTTTCTCCTTAGTTGTTCATCTGCAAAACAGGAATAATAATGACGTCTTCTTCACTGGGCAGCTGGGAGGATCCATTGAAACAGTATTAGTGAAAGTGGTTCTACAGATGGAGAAGGGGAGGTACTGTGATTGTCTTTGAGTGGGAGAGACACAAAGAAGTTCTTCTGCTGAGAGGTCTTGCACATGCCCACGGCCCTGGGCCTCCCACTCCGATTTGCAGGAAGAAGAATTTACCCATAGTGGGCGTGCAGAGACATGGGGAAGCAGAGGTGTCCCAACCTGAGTTGCCCTCACAATTAAGAGCAAGTGTGCTTTGCTTTAAGAAGAAGGAAAACTTTTGGAAAAGTGGGTTTGTGAAGGTGTTTTTTAATCTTTTGCTTATTTATTCCAGGTGTATCCTCAGAGATGTAGCAAAAAAAACAACAACCGTAGCCACAAACCCATAATACTGAAAAGCTGCTTCTTAATTTCTGTAGCTAAAAAAGCACTCTTTCAGGCTAAAACCACAGAGATTGCTCCAGGCCTCTGGAGCTGGGCTCAATGATGGTTGGCTGTGTGAGGAATGTGGCTGTTAACCTCTGTGGCCCAGAAGCCCAATCCATGGCCTCTCCAATTACCCAGGTTGCCTAGCAACACCACCAAAAGCCTCCCCACAAGGCCCAGCTGGGCAGCCTTTGGGTACACCCAGCATAGCCTGCACCCCGGCCTCCTGGGTTCCCTGGCCACATCAAGGCTGGACTCAGCCTCAGGCAGGGGCCCGCCTGGTACCATGAGTGGGTGGGGCCAACAGTTTAAAGAAACAATTCAGATATTTAAAACCTAGTCGTTTGAATGCAGCTAGGAAAGCAGCACAAACTACTGATAAAAAATCTCTTCTGCACAAGGGTAGCTGCCCTAAGGCGGTTGGCCTTGCCAGTGTTCTCCTGGGTGAGGTGAAGAAGGGAAGGTGAGCCTGACTCAGTCCTTTGGCTTCTCAGAGAGGCAGAACCTTTTGTTTCCTGGGTACCTGTCACCATCTTGACTCCTCATGGTAGCAACGGGAGTGGTGGGGATTCCCAGCGCCATCCTCAAGGCTGGTGCCCTGCCAGTTCTCCTACAGTCCCTGTTTGGGAGCTCCCAGGCTCCAGTCTGAGTCTGTCTGGGGAGCTGGA